TCCTCTATTCCGGCACGGGACAGCAGAGCAGCAGAGGGGTAAAGGGGGATGGGCATGTGTATGGTTATGAAAGGGGGGTTGACACACACGAGGGTTGCAATCTAATGAAATAATAATAATAAAAAAAATAAATAAGCCAAGGGCAGGGGAGGAGAGTGCTGGCTGTGCGGTGGGGTGGCTGCTGTACAAAGTCCCGTTTATCATTTACATATGTACATACATCCGATTTTCGATCCGCAGCAGCGGCATGACAAACGGGATACTCGCCCAAACTACTGTCGCACGACACCTTTTCCACCGACGCTTTTCTACCATGGCATGTGCCATTCAAGGGATTCGCTGGCCAGATCGATATGGAGTAGGCTATGGCGATATTTCTGCGGAGATTCCACCATTTTCTCGATCGATCAAAACACCTTCTTCACCTATCGGCTAAACATCGCATAGAAACGTGTGGAATGGCGGAATATCTGATACATTTTCGGAACGGAAAAACCTGACGGGCCATCCCAGACGTTGATGTTGGATGGTGGGCAGTGTGAACCGACTGTGGGAGGGTAAATCTACACATGAGGACATTCTCTGTGCCGTCGGTGGAAAGCGTAGCGTCGGTTTCTGCGTTGTAGCGACGCAACGCAACGCAACGGAATGGAATGGAAAGGAATGCTCACCGTTATCCCGAATCAAAATCGCAACCCGATATTGAAAAGTGCGTCGCAGTTTCGCCCTCGGGGGTGGGTGGTGGCTCGTCGATTGTTGTCTAACTCTCGCAGTATCCCCCTCAATCATGGCTAGAGGTAGAGCTAGAGCTAGAGCTACGGCCCAGGACAGTGCGAGAGCCGGCTGTAAGGTCCTGTATATTCCTGCCGCACGCACACGCATCGTGCACACACACACACACACACACACACACGCACACACACAGACATATGCCGTATCCTCGACCTTGTCCTTGTCCCGTTTTTTGGGGTTGAAAAAACAGTTCGGTTACATGAAATTCAGAAACGGGATAGAAAACAATTCGGGTATGTGTGCGTGTGTGTGTGTGTGTGTGTGTCTGTGTGTGTGTGGGCTGTGTTGGGTTGGTAACAGTCGGATATTTCTGAATTTTTGCGGCTATTCGGGGTGCGCATCGGATTTAGCTCTATAGGGAAAGAGGAAGGTCGGAGTGGCAGTGGAAGTGGAAGTGAAAGATGAAGCAGTCGAAGGAAGGTCGACGAGCGAAAGAGCAGACGAAGAGGAGGCAGAGCCAGCCAAAGAGGAAGAAAATTGGAAAGTGAAAATGAGGAAGCAGACGTAAGAAATATGTTTACATTCATACGAGCAAGGTCATAGGAAAGAGAGTGATAAAGACGGTGCAAGGAACAGATCAATGGGACCATCCTGATCTAATTGCAACACTACCACTCTTCCTCTGCTCCTCTGCTCCTATTCTTCTGTTATCCTCTTTCTACACCATTCTGCACTCTCTTCATAGTCCTCATTACCTTCCACTCTTTCTTCTGTTCTTCTATCGAGTTCTGTTGATCGTCTACTGTTTAGATTCTTCCTACTATTCGATTCATTTGGTACAGTATTTATTTCTAATTACAGTATTACTAGTATTTTTTCAGTATTAATACTATGCTTCTAAGGATGGTCACCACGGCTTAAAGGCACTCTCTGCCATGAAGTTTTGCTGACTTTTCGGTTTCCAGCAGTTCCAGAGAAACTTTGTAAAAGTTACATGGAATGTCTAAATATATCTACATATGTATACCTCTATTTATTTACCTTTATTTAATAGAACGAATTTCCACAGAAATGAGATTTTTCACTGCCTCTGATTGCATGACCTTTGACAGAAAAGAAACCTAAAAACATGTACACACAAAATGTCATATGTATTCGAATAAATTACGATTGGAACAAATTGGAAATGTAATGATCTTGGGTTGCAATTGGGTACATCTTTGTGTGTGGGTACATTTCTTGTAGTTTTCTTTTTTGGTACAAAATTAAATTTATCAATATGCTCTCTCTCTCTCTCTCTCTTTTCCCATATTGCTCTCATCCTCATTCGCTTCCTTCCTATCGCTCTCTCTGTTCCCTTCTTCCTTTCTTCCTGTCCGATTCCTGAGTAGATTTTCATCGAAGAGCAGAGCAGCTGTGCCGACAAGCAGAATTTTCCGACATTTATACGAACCAACAGGGAAAACAGACAGAAGGACGGACACACAGACAGTCGGAAAAAAGAGAGACAGCGAGCGAGAGAGAGAGAGAGAGAGAGAGAGAGAGCGAGCGTTGGCGTCTGTTGCTGCTCTTGCTACCCTTGTTTTTAGAGTTTTCCATGAGTTTTCCCTCCTCTGCCTATCCGGCAGTGGTCTGTGACAATGAAAATTTCGCTTTTCACACTCACCCTCGTGACGTCGACAGCGCAGCAGAGTCAAAGTCGATGCCAACGCCAACGCCAACGCCGACGCCGACGCCGACGACCACGCCAATGCCTGCGTCGACTGCGCAGCGTCGTCACCGTTTAACAGAAGACCAAAACCAAACCAATCAGATGGAAAATATACATACGTTTATCCGTCGTCGCTCTCTGCCACTTTTCCCTAGGTGCCCAGAGAGCATTTCTCAACCTTAACACCGCCGGCCGCCCACGGGTCCAGGCCGCCCGTCCTGGATCGTGACAGTGAGCGCCAGAAGTCCTCCTACCCCTGATGCGATGCCCCTCCCCTCCTCAAGATCAAACAGACAGGGAAAGCCTAATGCCCCAAGTTCTGTACGATACAGTCATGGAAAAAGTAATGCTCAGTGCACAATTTTTTGTTTTCAGTAGGGTTCATATAAGAAAATAATTTAAAAAATTTGATTCTTATTCTTATCTTTTTCTAAAATGCTTGTAAACAAATTATAGAGGTAACATTTCATATTATTTTTTCCATTACTGTACGTCTGTAATTCCTGATTTTGTCTTTATTTTTCGGATATCTAGATCCTAACTTTATCCCTGTACTTACATATATATGTGCCTTTTAAAAGATTAATTAACCGAATTTCATTTGTATTTACATTTTATTCGAATTAGAAAAGTTTGGAACTAAAAACAATAAGTTGGCACAGGAAATAGGATATATTTCATAGACTACAAAATCTGTTTAAATAGCCCTAAATCTCATTTTAAATTCTTGCCAGATGCACAGAGTGAAATTCGATGACTGTGTATATCCTAGATAGATCAATGATATTTCACAGAATCTATTCAAAATTTATATTCTTAAACATGACCATAAAAGTGCTTTAACTTCTAAGCCATTTAACCTACCACGGAAAATCAAAAGTATACAGATGGAGAAATTTGTGAGCTTAGGCCAAACACACTTTATGTATTTTTAAACAGTTTTTTTTAAAATAGTTTTACAAATTAAAAAAAAGTACTGCTCTTTTTTACCCACATTAAAACCAGTTTTTCCAACAATTTGTTTGTGGTTTCCATTATACTTTTAAACTGCAAATTAATATGTGGAATGCTCCTCTGAGCAATTTTTGTGTGGAGTTCATGGCGTTTTTGTCGCCCACTCCTGCCCTTGGAATGGCGCTTGTGATGGGTGGCGGAACACAATTGTGAGTGACTGTGCTGTAAGCAGGCTGCTGCTGCCGGCTCCTCGGAACGGATAAACAGGCGGATTACAGACGCCGCACACGGGGGGACGACCGACACCGACACCGACACCGACACCGACCCGCACAGATGGGATGGTCAGCCATTTTGGTTTCCGAGGTCTTTACTTAACTTTCACTACCGCTTTGTGTGTGTACTGTTTCGGTGTGTGTGTGTGTGTGTGTGTGTGTCTGCTCTGTATGGGGAAAATGTGACGCCGCTGCCTTGCTGCTGACTGCTCTGCCGCTGGCTCTGCTGGCGCAGAGTTTTCCTCGCATTTCCATCGAGCCACATACATCCGAGGGTCGCCGCCAGTGCCCGTGCTGCCAGTTCACTCGTCGTCGCCGTCGCATTAGTTCGTTTGACTCTCAACTCGACTCTCAGCCACAGTTCCAGCCACAGCCACAGTCACAGTTACAGTTACAGTTACAGTCACAGCTCCAGGGTCCAGGGTCCAGGTCCAGTTCCAGGTTCAGGTCCAACCACAGCACCACAGGCACAGGCACAGGCACAGCCACAGCGACCACCTATATAGCACCGGAACAGTAACCGCCATCGTTATATCGCTATATCGCTATATCGCTTATCGTTTAGCTGCCGGAAAAGTCTGACGCCGTCGGTTATCGCCGTTTTTTTTAAGTTGATGCAACCTCCAGCTGAATGCCAGTGACAAATACCAAAACGAAAATATTGTACAAGTGAAAAAGTGAGCCCAAGAAATACGAAAGGAATTCCATTCCGCAAAAAAAAATATTCCAAAAATCCTCAATCCTCAATATTGTAAGCAGCTTAAACAAGATATAGAGAGAGGGAGGAAGTGTAAGAGACAGAGAGAGAGAGAGAGAGAGAGAGAGAGAGAGTGGAAAGAGCAAGGAAAAGAGAGAGGAAGAGACAGCGTTTTCCAGTTTTCCTTTTCCTTTTCGTTTTCCTTTTCTATTTTTTTTGTACGCACTTCACGCACTTCCAGCTACTGCCATCTCGCTCGCACCAGCACACACACAACTCACACACGCACACGCATACATACACGCACATAGCCACCCCAAAACCAGAGTTGTCACCTAAGCAAAAATCAATAAACCATAGATGGAACCAAAAAAAAAAAATAAATAAAATAAAATAAAAACGAAAAGGAAAAGGAATCCAATCGAATGAAAGCAAAACAAAACTTTTGTGTGTTTCTTCAACTTTCTTCATCGTAAGAAAACACAAGTGCACCCCCTACCCATATGCCACCCTGAACAAAAACAAAATGAAAACTCTGATCTCCCAACTCGAACTCGGACAACATTTACCCTCCTGTCAGTTCAATATAAATTTTAGTTGCTTTTCAATTCAGTTTAAAAATTTTCTCGTTTTGCCAAATTCTTCAAAAAACAAAAATCACACTCTCCCACTATCACACCATCGGGCACGCGGAATATAACCATCAGTGTATTGAAACAGCTCTAAAACTAAAGAAAAACAAAACAAAAAACCTATAACCAGCCGCCCCCAGACACATACAGACAGACACAGACCTTTCGGTACACATTCGAAATTAGGCAACTACCCAACGATTCGATCCATCAATCGGTTCAGATCTATAATCATTAGTGATCCCTAGCAGATCATATTTCAACAAAGTCAACGTAGTATATTGTATGGAACATATTAAATGGATTGCGGAATGTATTAGAAGTAGAGCTGGAAGGCTCACATACTTTCATTCACAGCAAGCCCCTCGACAGTACATAACCCAAGCCCCTAAAATTCCCAGTTCGATTAATTGGAAACTGTTCAGATCAATAGGCACTGGAGCGCTCTATCAACCATATCAGCCATCATAAAGCATCCAATCTGTTTCAGTCTGTATGAATCAATCAGTCAAAATCTATCTCATGAATGATCAGATTCCCCCAATCGAATTTAATTTGTGAGTATACCTGGCCTATCATTACTCGTACAACCAATTCCATAATCCATAATCAGAATCAGACTAACTCGATGATCATCTACTCTACTCGTATTTAACACATTTTAAACAAAGGGATACCATGAAATCCTTCCGATATCAATCAAATCTCCTAAAAGAACTAAGGATGTGAGATCTTCGTTACTGAAATGATTGAGCATCTACTGGTTGAAAATCGTCGTCTTCTATAACTCTGCGATTGTACGAGTAGATTAAGATACTTGCTAAAAGGCAAGGACATCTTTCGTATGAGAATGAAACTAGTAATTGATGTCCGTTGAAGGCGATCTGTCTCTTAGATGTCTTTAAGAGAGCCTGCTAGGGCTATGTCCTTATGTCCTCATTCACTCTCCGCTTGTGGGGGATCTTTGTCTCTACCTCTACGACGACTTCATTCTGTTCTTATTCACATTGACTCCGATTCATTCTCTACTATGAGTAGGCGTATTCCTAGGGGGCCCACATCTGTCCAGCCATCTGTCCTTTCCATTCATAATCTAATGGGAGATTTCTACACCCCAACTCTAGACGCCAACGTCCAACAGTTGCCACAGTAGCAACATTGTAGCACCACACAGTAGCACCACTGCTACTACAGTGTGACCACCACTGGCCACTAGCCGGCATGGAGAGCCACCGTTGAGAGGATTCTGTGCCAGAATGGTAGGGCTCCACTGTGGATGAATGCGTTGGATGTGGCGTGCCACTGGCAGAGGTAGATGCAGAGGTATCCGTGTCTATTTTAAATGTCGACGGCACGGGACGCGCGTGGCATGAATGAAGTGTCTGCCCCTCTATGCTGTTGCTGCTTCTCTCGTCTTCCTTCCTCATTCTTATCTGCCTCGTCTTGTCTCGTTTCGTCTAAATTTAATGCATTCTCGAGTGGGGCCAAAGGCGCATGGAAGATGCGAAAAATCAAATCAATTTTAAAGTTCAACAGCCCCTCCTCATCCTCGGGGGGGGAGGGGGGCGAGGGACAGAAACAGAATTCTACAGCGAACAGAATTTGAATTAGAATTAGCCTAAACCCTCAACATTCCTTGATATCTGTGGGAGGATCCCCCCAACGATATTCTCTGGCACTCTTCCCGCCATTTCTTTCTTTCTCTTCCGCAATCCGCAATCCGCAATCCGCGCTCTCCCCGAACGGACACAACTGTACTTGAGCGTAGAGATGATTTGTGGCCCTGTCCTTGAAAGCCTTTGGCTCTAAGAAAAAGCTTAGGTAGGCAGCTGGTTGCCCCGCGATCTCTGCCGTTGCACGCTTCACCTATTATATAATGGTGAATGGTGAATGGTGAATGGTGTGTCCTGTAGCCACTCGTTGCCCCTCCGTTCCCCCGATTCCCCCCTCCCTCAAACCATTTCGCGTTCAATTGTTTAATGTCCTGTGTTCTGTTTTGCCTGCGTATGTATGTGTGTGTGTGTGTGTGTGTGTGTGCGATAGAGAGCCGGCGTCAGGATATATGCCAGAGATTAACCCTAGAGCGGTGTCACATTTGTCTGTGCCATGCCGCCTTCCTGCTCTCAGATACGATACCCCTGGCAGATCCATCGTTCTGGCTATTACCATATGATTTATGATTATGATAGAATAGATATACCATATGTAGAAGCCAAAATTCAAATACAGACAGAAACTGAAACGAAAAGTGGACTGGCATTGGGATTTAGTTTTGCAAAACTACAATTTCTTGAGTTTTGGCTTCTATAATAAACAATAATATAATATAACCTATAATCGATGTGTAATGTATTTGAGATAGTTCTTTGATTTGGAGGTTTTCGCGAATCAATGCTGTCTTGATCCGGAAAGGGTCTTCTTATTTATTTATTGATACCAAATCTGTCCATAAGAGAGTTTCAAATGCCATTTTACCCGTTGAAGTGTCCGAGTGTCAATCTGTGTATGTAAGCATTCAACACCCTATAAGACATAAAGATATGTAGTTGGATAGATATACAGGATACAGACCAGCAAATGATGGTAATCATCTTTTTAAAAATAACATTTTGCTCACTTTTCATAGAGATCCCGCACTGGCAAGGGAAACCCTTTAATGTGACAAGATTTTCGCCTTTGAAAATTACGGACTGCACTTTTAGCACATATGTTTAGAAGTGAACGGCAAAGAAGGGAACAAATTACAAAAACTGAAGGATCTTAAGCCTTGAAAGATTGGCAGACCAATCCAAACAATATTTACATTATAATTGCATCAATTTTCAAGGGTTTCTTCCTTTCAATCTATCAACTGTCCGTCTATCTGCATTCGCCATTGCATTCGTCAAATTGCAATCCACCACTGGGCCGCTACCCAGCACCCACCACCCAATGACCACCACCCAATGACCACCACCCAGAGCCCCATATGCAGGAGCAGAGGGGCAGACCTACAGACAGACAGACAGATAGACAGATAGACAGACAGATAGACGGACAGACGAACAGGCGGATACGGAAATATGCACATAGCTCTCGACAATGCCATTCGCAGGACTCGGCTTCCTTCCCTTTCGCTCTGCCACGTGAGCTGGTGGGCGGGTGTGGGGGTGGCGGCTGGATAGGCCTGCTATTGCATACTTTTGAGGGGTTGCTGCGCCACACACCACACACCACACCACACACACACACACACTCTGGCCTCTGCTGCTGCAGTTTGCTGCGCGCGCGCCATTTTGTGCCGCATGCAACAAAGAGTGCAACAGGCTGGATGGGGTCTGGTCGGGTCGAACGACAGACAGCCTTCGGTTATTCGCCGATGGCACACAAATGGGGGTGGGATAGGGAGCGGGAGCGGGAGCGGGAGGAGGAGGAGACCGCCTGCCCACGCCCACTGAGGCACTGACGGACCACTCAACAGCCAGGGCAACCAGGGCAACCCCTTGTGGTGGGAGGATTTTGTTGCAACCGTACTGCCACCGACCGGCCGACCACCAACGTGGAACGTGACGAGTCATAGCCATTGCCACCCCTGTGGTGGCTGTGGTGCTGCTTGAACCCTCTGACGATGCACTTTTGTTGCAGCTTTTTGTTGTGGAGGCAGCAACAAGGAAGCTTTTCAAGCCGCTAATTGGCTTGTCAGGAAAGGGGATTCGGCTCGGTTCGGTTCGGTTTGGTTCGGTTCGGTTCGGTTCGGGGCATGCACTATCCGCCCGCCAACCCTTGGGCGGCACGACTCGGCAGGGCATGGCACGGCACCCTTTCAGCGGTCGGAGATGATGCCTATTAAACGCCAATTAATGTCACCTTCAACAACTGCAATTGCTGCAGTTGCCACAGCCACTGCCACATATACACACCCCTTGGACCCTGGACCCTGGACCGTGGACCGTGGACCCTTTCCATTCCTTTTCCTACCTTGGTACCCTCCTCCCTCCTCCCTCCACCCTGCTGACTCTTGTCGATTCTGATTTTGTTTTGATTGCGACGCGTGCAGGGCTTACAACCAGAAGCAGAATACGAAGAAGACGGCAGGGCAGGGAGGATGGGAGTGTGCCTGTGCCTGCGCCTGTGCCAGAGCCTGGCAGAAGTGGAAGTGTTGCAACGCGTTGCATGCAACAAGTGACCTTCAGGCAAACCCTTTTCAATTGGATAATTGCAACAGGAAATGCCAGCGGACGACGGGGCACGTGGGAAGTGAGCGAAAAGAAAGCCAACATCATGAGGAAAGGCTCGAATGATGGGAAATGAAATTCCCATAGAATGATGGGGCTCCGGTCTCCCTTTCCGCACGTTTTCGATTTCTCCATTCAATTTTGCTAACGAGCCATTTACACAGAATATTCTTTGGTCTGCTTCGGATTTCCTATAATGGTGGGATCTTAAAGGATCTTTCAATAATGTTTCCCCTCTTTAGAATTGGTATCCGTACACACAATTTTCAATAGCTTTATGGGAAAACCCTGAGGCCTGGGATTTCCATAAGTTAAATCAAGTTTGAGTATGGAATTTTCCATGGTTAAATCTCCTTATGTGCATATAGTAAAAAGTCGATTTTTTTTGTGTGTGGGCTTAAAATAACAGGACTAATCGTACTCTTGGAATTAAACTTTTGCCAAAAACGAAAAAAAAAATACAACATAAACTCAAGGACTAGCCCCGTGTTCCACCCCTCCTCAGACACCTCTCTGTTTCCCTCTCCCCTGTGACTAGGTTCCATGTGAAACGAGCTTAAAGCATTTTGGACAGAATCTCCCCCATCCCCTTTCCCACTGCTCGCATTTCGTTTTCGTTTTTCAATTTTTGGCAGCTTTTTGCGCTCTTTTTTTTTTGTTTTTTGTTGCTGCCTTCTAAGAAACGGCAGAGGGCAACAGGAGCAGGAGCAGCTTTTGTGTCCACTTCCTTTGCCGCTTCCTTCTTCCTTTTCGAGCTTAAGCGCCGTCGTCGTCGTCGTCGTCACCATCTTTCTCCATCCACAATGGTTCCCCCGTGTGCCAGCCAGTAGGTGTGTGTATGTCTGTGTGTGTGTATATATTTCTGTGGCTGGGCTCTCTTCATTTTTTGGGCAACGGCGACAGCGACAGCGACAGCGACGGCGACTGCGACGCCCCTTGGCCACTCACCCAGTCACTAGCTCACTCACTCACTCACTCATTGAAATTTTCGGCAATACATACCGCAATCGCATTTGCTTTTGTGCGTCTTCTTGCCTGCTGTTCCGTTCGGTGCTGTCGCTGTCGCTGCCGCTGCCGCTGTGCTCGCGGGCTGTGTGAGTATGCGTGTGAGTGTGTTTGCTTGTGTGAGCGTCGTCGCGACGCTGTCTACGCGCATAGGAATTTTGGGCAGCAGCGACAGCGACGTTTACCGAAAAAGAGAAGAATCTCAAGGCATGTGGTTCGAGTGAAACTGTCGCAGCGCTGCTGCTGCTGCTGCTGCTGCTATCTTCTCTCGTTGCTGCTTCTGTTAGCATGTGCTGCTTTCAGCTCTGCTGCTGCTTCTGCTTCTGCTGCTCTTTGATGGCGGCCTACTTCAAAATCCTCTGTTGAGAGAGAGGGCTGTAATATTTAAAAATATCATTAATGTATTTTTTATATAAAAAATATATTATTTACATTTGATATTTATCATAAAAAAGTATGGAAATTTTTTATGACATTTTGCCTCTACCTCGCTCATCACGCAAAACTGAGCATTGGTGCTCTCTTGCCCTCATACAAAGTAGTCATTAGACTCAAGCAGCAACGCCAGCAGAGTTTTCTCTTGCTACCCTTGAAAAATTAGGATAATATAAAATTGATGAGACGTTTGCACTTATTAAAGCCGGAGTCTAGTAGCTACAGCAACAGTTAGTTCTCTTCAAGCGAAATAACTCAGAAATAAGAGACGCACTCAGCATCCCAATCCAATTCAACAACATTAGCGACGATCGCGAGAAACGAAGCAGACCGAGCAGGCAACGCTGCTGGCGTCGCGGTCGCTGGTTGGGATTTTGAGTGTCATTTGTATGTGGACGAATAATAATCACACTCAACGCGCAAGAGCGGCGCTCTCGGCTTGGCGCTCCAGGTCTCTCTGGGCACGTTTTACTGCAACATTTAAGCACAGATGGGGCAACATATGAACACGCTTGAAAAAGGACACTATACAATGGTTGAGATGACAAAGTCGGAAAACAGAGTTTACATTATTAAGGCAAATAGGGAAGCTCCATACTCAACAAAACATTTCCCTGCAGCTGTGTTTAAGACAATACTAGGATTATCAGTAACTTGCAAGTATAATTGGCCAACATTTGGGAGCACTTAAAGGCCAAAAGTAGTTTTCTAGGTTTATCAACAAACTATCACTCTCTTGCATCGTTCACATTTGATTTTGTAAGTTTCACTACATGTGTAGAAACATAGGGTATGGAAACTTTCATACCAGCTCTCCCAATTGAGTGTAATTGCTATTTTCAAAATAACAATCAGCTCAAAAAAAAAACAAACACTCAAGGCGCGAGCGGCGCTCAAAATCACACTCAAAATCCGAAGCGACAGCGACGCCAGCAGCGATGGCGCGTCGGGCGACGGGTTGTACGGTGGTTGTGGAAAAATGTAAAAGGAGACACTGTGGACTTTTGCTGCCTCAATCTTTTCTCGGCCGCGGCAACGAAACAACAGAAATTTGGTTAAAATTTTGGCGGTTGGCGCTTTTAACCGAATTCAGAAAAGTAGTTCCGTTTCCGTTGATATTATCCCACAAAATCATCCTAACTGTAAGCAACGCAACGTCGCGGATCCGTGTTCAGTCCTTCAGCAAAAAAAAGAAAAAGAAAAGAATAAACACAAAAAACCACCAAAAATATACACAAATACTACAAAAAATTTGTTTAAACCAAACACGCAAAAATACCGCACACCGCAAAGACAAGCATACTATCATTTTTTTATTTGTTGGTTTTGTTATCACAAACAAAAAAAGTATTCAAGTTTTTCCACGTTTCGCGCCACGGATCCGACATTCATTCAGTCACGGGCGGCCCCCACTGTTCTCCCCCGACCCCATGTGCGCCTACGCCTGCGTCCCCAAATAATTAGAGAAAAACTTGAACAAAAACAACAAGGCGGAGAGAGAGAGAGAGAGAGAGAGGGAGGAGAGCCACCAGAGAGCACTGGAGAGCGCGCGCGGGGGTGTAGTGAGTGCGAGAGGGGGGCTGGGCTGCTCCATACTGTTGTTTTTGCTGTTACTTTTTTTTCGTGGCATATTTTTTACTTTGACTTGTTTTTTCCCAACATTTTTTCTTTTTACCTTTTCTTTGCTTTGTGTTTGTGCGATGCGGGTGTAAGTGTGCGGGTGTGCGGGTGTGTGGGTGTGCAACAAAAAAAATATATATGTATATTTAAAATAATGTCCCCTTAATATTGTTTTTCTCATATTTTTTATGTGTTATTTTTTGGTGTTGCCCACAAAAAAAAAGATCGCCTGCCAAAAAAATAAGTAAATTCAAACCGAAAAAAAACCTTTTTTTTTGAAAACATTCCATTCTGTAAATTTGGCAATCACAAAAAAATAAACTATCAAAACGCGTGCAAACAAAAAATCAAAGTCAAAATCCACACAAAAAACAACAGCAGTGGCAGCAAAAGAAACACACAAAAAAAGACGGCACTCTGACATCATCTGCGCTCCACTCCCCTCCCGCCCCTAACCGGTACTACTCCGCACAGCTGCCCCACCTCCCTGCCCCAACCCGCCACTGCCAGCAAGAAAACATACAAAATTAAAACACAAGAAATAGCAACAAAAGCAACAACAACAACAAAATGTAAGCCACCAGAAAGAAACGAAGCAAAACAAAAGCAGAAAAGCAGCAGAAAAAAAATTTCCCCATTTTTGGGCACATTTTTTGTTTTATTTTTTGTTGTTTTTTTTTTTTTTGTAGAGCCCATATGCGAGAAGTGGTACTTTTTTAACACACACAAACATACGCACACGGGAATATAGAGAAAGAGGGAGAGTGACAAAAGGCGATGGGGAGGGGGGTGGTGGGTGGTTGTGTGGGGCGTGGGGCGTGGGGCGTCCATGATCAAAGTCATCAGCTTTTGGGGACAGCGCCAGCAGCCGCCAAAAAAAACCCCTCGCTCTCACGCATAAATCTATTCTAATGGTCCACCATCCCACAGTCCCACCGTCCCACCGTCCCACCGTTCCACCGTCCCACGAATAGTCGCCAGCTCTCCCGCTCTCTGCCTCTCTCTGAGCAGCTTGATGACGAAAGCAAACAGCATTGTGTGCGTGTGCGTGTGTGTGTGTGCGGCTGCCAGTGTGCGTGCGCCAATGAAAGCAGAAAAGAAAGCCGGCCGGCGATCTCTGTGCTGGGCGAAACAGCTGTTGTTCAGTGGGTGGACACGGAAAAAAAGCTCTGCGTGTCCCTCTCTCTCTCTCTCTCTATCTCTCCGCCTCGGAAAATCACAGCCTAAAACTTTATTTTTTTATTTTTCTCTCGGCCATCCACAAAACTAACCATACTCTTCCACTTAACACCATTCTCTTTCACAGATTATTCTTCCCTTTTTGGCTCAATTGACACCACAAAAAAAAAACAACAACAAAACACACAGCAACAACAAAATCCTAAAAAACAAAAACCCTTTTTTGGAACAAGGAAAACACAAATTCGAGCGCAAAAAAAAACCCAATGTAAAATTTCACAACAAAACTGTTTTCAGCAAATTAAACAACGAAGAAAAAATAAAAACGGAAAACGGTGAAAAGACCCACAACAAAAAAAAAAAAAAAAAGGCCATAAGTAAAACATAAGAAATGCTAACTCGACAACACGAAAAAATAATTACAAATAAAAACAAAAAATAACTAAAAACTCGCCAGTCCCCTGACCAGCCAAAAGTTATTCCGGGCTCAGCAAAAGTTTTGTTTCTTCGACCAATAACAACAAAAGCAAATAAACAAACAAAGCCAAAACCAAAAACCAAACAACAAAACACAAAAAAAAAACACACACACACATTTTTAAAAATTAATCTGTCAAGGACATGTGTGAATCGATTAATTGAGCGAGCAAAACAAAAAAAGTTCCATCATTCCATCCTCCCACCAAACAAAACACCAAACACACATGAAAAACAGGGGAAAAGCTAAGAAAAGAGAAAGTGCAGAGTAAGAGTAAGAGTAAGAGTAAGAAGAGTAAGCCATTTTGAAAGCTCTATTGGAACCACCCGCCACCAATCCCCGATTCGAAGAATTCTAAAGTGCTCCACCCCAAAACACACACAAGTTTCGGTTTCGGTTTCGGTTTCGTTTCGATATCGTTTAGGCAGAGAAGAAAACATAATTATTCCTATAGAAACTACTAGACACTATATATATATCGTATAAATACTTTATACATAGATATACATATAAACGCGAGCTAAGCCAAAGCCAGAAAGTCGATCAAATACAACAAAATCCTCGTTAAAGCAACCACAACAAAAAGAACAAAAAACGAAAGCAGCAAAAATGGCATCCGAATTGGATCAGTTCGCCGACTTGGAGCTATCGAAGGAGGATCGCGAACAGATCTTCGATCCGCCATTGGATCGGCAGCAGTTGGAAGGTGCTGGCACCTCAAGGTATGTATAAAAAAAAAAGATCCAAAAGGATCCAATACTCCTCTATCTCTCTGTACCGAAAAACCAAAACCAAAACCAAAACCATACCCCCACCAATCCACCCATTTACTATCACTGATTCCCCACCTCACCCCACCCCACCCCACCACTGTAAACTGTAAACTGTAAACTGTAGCCTTTTTTTGTGTAGTTTTGTTTGTGTGATGCTTTGTAGCTTTGCCACCCACAAGAACACAGGGATATCAGACCCCAGACCCCAGACCCCAGACCCTACTCCCTACTCCCTGCTGCCAAAGTACTTGAAACTGTGCCTGAAATTCTCCTCACAAAAAATGGCGACCAATTCGTTTGGGCTGCCCACAAAAATGTACTCTACTCTCCATAACGTCTCATAAGTAATGGAAAGCCCAAGCAAAAAGGGGCAAGGATTGGTCTTTCTGGCCAATCCACAATTGCACAAATTATCACGCCAAATAACATGAAGCTTGCCCCTCGCTCTGTGCCACACCCGCAGCAGCAGAACAACAACAACAACAACAAAACCAACTCCTTTTGGACATACAACGCTGCTAAATAGCAGCTAATTTCCTGTGATAAATTGGGCATATCACCCAGTGGCATGAAGCAGTAGCAGCAGCATCACCATCACCATCAGCAGCAGTACAAAAAAAGGCTCTCAGAGCAGGGAGACGACCAGGAAAAGATCCTCCTCATGCTCATCCTCTGACCCTCATCAACGTTTCCCTCAAGGCTCAAGTGGTGTAAGCAAACACTGGAAGGAACAGCCCCAGCAGCCCTAGGAATGGAACGGAACTCTCACCTCACGGTAGGGTGGGAATGGAAGGGAAGGGGACGGGAGGGGAGGGGAGGGTAGGGCAGGCGAAACTATCATCATTGTCACATAAAAACCAAATACCCTCTGGTCCCCAAGGGCTCTACAAAGCAGTGGCACTACCTGCATCTAAGCTCTAACCCTTTTTATGCTTCTTTCCCGAGAAGCCTGAGGAGTCTTCCTGATTTGACAAAAATTGATATACTTGCCACACCGCACCGCACCGCTTCGCACCGCACGCACACACGCTGGACTCCGAAGAGGAGGAATCGAGTCCATATAGGGTGCGAAGAGAGATCAATGATGGACAGACAGCTGGGGGGAGGGGAATGGGAATTGTCAAACTGAAAATCAAACTTTGACCCAACTCTCTTGAGGCTTTCAGCTTCCCATTCCCAACCATTCTCAAAGAAGTGCAAAAGAAAATGTTTATCCAAGACCTAAACAGATCATTTCTTGGCTGAAAACAGAAGTCCTCCTCCCGTCCTCCATCCCAAGAAGGCGCTGGGAATATGTACTACCGTATTTTCTGAATGAATGGACGGATTCTGCTGTGGTTCTGTGGAGCAAATAAGTTTCCGGATGTTGGAAAGTTCTCCAAAAATCATGTCATGATCCTGTCACCAGGATCATCCAAAGGATCTTTGGAATAGAGCCAAAAAGCCTTGCTCGGTGTATACAATCATGCACATGACATGTACAATTCAATGCAATTCTGGGCATTAGCTCGAGCACCATGTGGGTGCGATTTGAGCTCATCAGAGCTGAGAAATTGTGTTGGAAATTTAAAGGTAGCATTGATGGAAAACAAGACGGAAAGATCCCTTAATAATAATAGAAAGGAAGAGATTTATCTGTGAGAGCTTTGCGTTCATCCCGAAAGCGGACCACTAAGCCCCCGAGCTGCGATTGAGCGCATCCTGTGGCTGGTGTGCTTACGGGACTCTCTCTCTCGCCCACTACTAAGCACATTTTAAATGCCATTTAAATCTGCCTCGCTGTGGCTGTGTATATCTGTGATTCTGTCTGGTTGCTGCCCCTGTGCGGCACAGCCACAGCTTGTTGCGTGTTAAGCCGCTTGTTGCAACAACAGCTAAGCTGCTAGGCAAACCCAGCAGCAGCCACAGCAGCAGCAGCACAAAACAAAAATCCTTACTAATTTCTTTGCAGGAATTCAAAGTAAACAAAAAAATAAATATAAAAAAAAGATCTCAGGGAAACAAGAGACACACAGAGATATAGAGATATATACATAGAGACAGAGAGAGAGAGAGAGAGAGAGAGAGAGTGAGAATGAAATCGTTTTTCTGTAGCATTTGGTTTAATCCTCCAAAGGAAACATGCCGCTTGCCACAAGGAGGCAGCTTCTGCTTTAGGTTTTGTGCTTAGAAAAGAAGGGTTGTATCTTTGAGATCTTCTCTTATGTATGTATCTTCGAGTGTGTGCGCCCCTCATATGATGATCAGGTTTCCTCCTCAGTAGAACAATTTTTTATTTTTTATTTGGAGATTGGAGGAAATATGATTTTGGCCTTTTTTTTAGGTTTAGAAGGGGCTTTTCCCTTCCCTCCCCTTCCACAATTCTTTCTGGCTTCGGCTTCTGTTCAGAGTTGTGTGTGTGTGTGTGTGTGTGTTTTTTTTTTTTTCTAGGCAGAAACACGTTTCTCAAATTTCCAAAGAGCGTTCGTTTCTCTCTATCTCTCGCTCCCTTTCTCTCTCCGAATGCTCAAACATTTTTAATTATATGAAGGATGCTTTGGCATCCTTTTTCCATTCTTTTTTTTTTTTCGTATTTTTGTATGTCCATCTAATGTTTGTTCACTTGGCAGACAAACGCCGCGGCTGTGGCCGTGGCAGTGTCTGTGGATAGGCGGCTTGGGGGGGGGGGGGGGGGGGGGGGGATGATGAGGCTTCGAGGCTGGAAGCCCAGTCGTTTGCCAATTTGTCTTCCATCTTCCCTGCCTCCCATCTAATCTCACTCTCTCTCCCAACCCTTTTTCTGCCATCTGTGTTGTATCTGGGTATCTGGGTATCTGTTGTATCTTTGTATCGCTTGCCACTTAGGCGCTTGTTTGAGCACCTTCTCGCGCTCGCTCCCCTTCTAAGAAGGTTTTTTTTATTTTTTTTAAATTTTTTTGGGAAAATTTGGAAGCAAATTTGATTCCCATCGATTATCAGGCAGGAGGCTGGAGGCAGGAGGCTGGAGGCTGGAGGCTGCTACTGCTTCCTGTTCCGTGTCCTTGCTCGCCTTTTGCTTTTTGATTGACAGTCAAATTAGTAGAAGGATCCTTTCGGCTCTGCGGCCAACGAGTATTTTCACTGCTCTGCTCTGCTTTTTGGGGGTTGGATCGGTCGGATCGGTTCTAGATCCTGGCAGAATCTAAGCAGACTGCTCTGCTGCTGCTCCTGTGGCAGCTGTGGCTGTGTTCGACGCCTGACCTTGGTCCATTGCTCGGCTTCCATTCATTCCACCATTCCATCCTCCATCCTCTGTTCTCCATCCTTTCCCTATCGTTCGCCCCCGCCTTTGTTTATCGAAGAAGCGAGAAGCGAGAAACGGACAAACGAAGCTTCAAATACCCTTACAATTAATTCAGACCTCTTTTTTGGCTATCCATATTATCTGTACGAATTTCCCGTAAGCGAACGGATACAAGATATATTCCGGGAATGCATATCCTGAACAGGGAATTCCGAACATTCTTATGCTAGCTTATGGAACAAATCGATCTCATTTTGGCTTCTCTACCCCTCTCCCTCTCTCTCTTCGGAGGGGCACCAAATGAAACCAGTTTCACGCCAGACCCACGAGATTTGTGTGTCTGTGTGTGAGAAGAACAGAAGAAGAACTCTATGCTTTATAGAGAATCAAACGTTTTGAATGAAATCAAGTACTGGAGGGCCACAGACAGACGGGGTACAGACGGAGAGACTCTCTTCTCTGGCAGTGGGACAGAGAGGCGGCGGACACTTTACCTACATTTTGGCCCCGAATTGAGGTATTTGTTGCCCCATATTGTTTGTGCTGGATCCCGCCGGTACGGATTCGGCACAGCGGAAGAGCAGAAGGACACCGACTTCTTCTTTGCACTCTGAGGCAAACAGGATGCAAATGTTTTTGTGTGTGAGGGCAGGTAGGCGGGTAGCCCGCGGAGGCGGCCGCCGGCACAGAGTTCTTCTCTCTCTCTCTGCGTGTGTGTGTGTGTGTGAGTCGATGTCAGGTAGGAGCGATGTGTGGTAGGAGTCGGAGTCTTGCCCTGCCCTAATTTCAATATGTTGTAATCACACACGCACAGAAATTCGGTTCGGTATCGAATCGAATCTCGAAATGACATTCAGAATACGAAACGAGCGGGAACGTTGGCACATTTATACCCGCTCCCCACCGCCAGAGGGCGCACACTGCACGACGAAGAGTGTGTGAAAGAGAGGGCATTCTCTAAGCGATTTTTGGCTAGAACTCTGATTCGTCTGATGGTCATTCTCTACGATTCTGCCTTTTCGGGTCCCACAAATCTGCGTCCTTTGAGGAGGCGGAAGAGAGCGGGGCGGGCCTTGGTTGCTCTAGAACTCTCATTGTCTCTGAGAACTAGGCGCCAAACAAGACGGATGGACGGACTTGGCTTTATCGACTCGGCTATTGATGCTGATCACGAATATACTACATACTTTATGGGGTCGGAAACGCTTCATCAGGCACTGTGACCACAAACCTCATATACCTCTGTACTCTTTTTGAGTACCGGGTATAAAAAAGAAGCTGGGGCGGGGCGGGGCACCTCCGCCCGACTCCGCTGATGGATTGTCTTCGATAGATATCGAAGATCCTGGAAGTGCTGTAGCGAAGTGATCGTTATCGAATGTGCCGAAGGTCATGAAAGATACCTGAAGATACATTTGAGAATTCTCTGAATATCTCTCGCTATCTCTCTTTAAAGTTATCATTTATCAAGGTATCGATCGTGTGGCATCTAATTGTTGAACGATCTCTCTTGCTCTCCCGCGCTACATCTCTCTCTCTCTCGCTCCCTCCTCTCTCTCGTCTCTCTCTCTCTCTGTGGCAGCACATTCTTGCCTGTTGTTGCTTTGTTGTTTAACTACATTTTTGTGTGCTCCTTTTTGAGTTTGTGTTCATTAGAAATTTCCAAGAATTCCACAGCGACAACGAC